TATATACTGTTAATAAAAGGCGATCCAACAGGTGAGACGTAACCACAAAGACACAATATCCATACTAGGAACATCCCCTAGAAAAAGGAATAAAGAAAGTATAGTAACAAGAAAAACAAAAGAAAAAAAAGAAAAAAAAAGAAGGGAAATGTATGAGGCGGCAGAACAGCAACTGGCACTTGTAAGCCGAAAAACACAACACCTCCGTGGTTTATTACAACAACAAATAGACGCCTTGAAACAATTACGGCAGGAACGCACTGCAGCCGTTAATGAACGTGATGAACTCCGTCGGCAATTACAACAGGCCGAACAGCGAGCAGCTCTGGCGGAGTCTACACATCAGGAAGCCGAAGAGTGTTTGCGGAAAACCGCAGAGGAGTTCGCGGCCACGCAACTCCTGCAGAAACGGTATAGTAACACACTCGCGGCATTAGATAGACGACAACGATCGCTGGTGCGGGTGGTGGGCGCCGCCACTCAACAGGAGAACTCCACACTAAATGAATCTACATCTAAACTAGAAAAAGAAGAAAAAGGAAAAGAAGAAAAAGAAAGAAAAGAATCAACTGCGGCTGCTATTACAGTGACGGATGAATGTACTGTAGTGGAGTTGGAGCGGCGGCGTACATTTGTGGTAGATGTGGCCTGCACAGCACCATCACTCCGGCAACGAATGGGAATAGGGAATTACTCATTATCATCTAATATTAATACTAACAGTATTAGTAGTAATGGAGATAATAATAATAATAATAATAATAATAATAATAATAATAATAATAATAATAATAATAATAATAATAATAATAATAATAATATTCTTCCATTGGTCTCACTAACAGATGAGGAGCTTTTCTCTGCAATTCAAATGGATCAAGTAATTGAAGATGTCCTCTCAGGTGTGAATACTGTTTTTCTCTCTTTTGGTCCTGCGGGTGGTGGAAAGACGGAAATGTTGTTTGGCACTAAAGCCTCTATCGTTGCGTATGAAGGCCGACAGCAATTTTCCCGTAATGCCGGTTTATCGGCTTCTCGTGGGCGGTTCTCCTCATCTTCGACGGTATCCACACCGGCAGGGATGAGCCATGAAGGATCTACAGCTGGTCTTCTTTCTATATTTACACATGGACTATTTAATAGTCTGGTTTCACAGGCTGTAACGCATTTTAATATTCGTTGCAGTTTTGCAGAGTTTGCAATGAATCAAACTGTTGATCTTCTACTTAAGCATTCCGGGGGAAGATATTCATCGGCTTTTGGTATTGGTGGAAATAGTATCTATAGTGGTGGTAATAGTAATAGTAATAATGGTAATGGTAATAATGGGAAGAGTGCAGTGATGATGAAAACAATTTCAGCGGTTGCTGGTGGGGAATCACACATAATGCCCATCTCATGCGGTGGTGTGAGTGAAGAAGTGACGAGTGTGAAAGTAGAGAATGCGGATGAGGCCATGCAAGTCTTCTTTAGTGGAATTGAGCGATTAGGACGTTGGCGAAGTGCTGTTACTACTAATAATACTACTAATAATAATAATACTAATAATAATAATACTAATACTAATAATACTAATAATGGTTCCTCATATATACATACAAGGAATGGGGATTCTATACCGGGAGTGTCTGCAACCCACACGGGTGGTGTATCCCACGCGGTGTTTACACTCACAGTGGAGAGTTTTAACACGAAAGGACATTATCGACGGGCCGTCGTCTCATTTGTAGATCTCTGTGGTCCACCAACAACAATATCAACAACAACAACAATAGTAACGCCAAAGACAGCAGAGGAAGAATGGGTGGAGGAGTCTATACAATCTTTGTGTGATGCTATTGCTGCCACTTCTAGTATTAAACGGCATACATCCCATAAAAACAATCTCCACCATAACGATAACTCTCATAATAGGAAAAGTAATAGTGATATCGATAATTCTACGATAAGTGATGCTCAACGTGCGGCTGCTGTCTTTGATCGTCTCCCTGGAAGTCATTCCAATTGTATGATGCGTTTTCTCCGTCCCATATTTGGCGGTAATGCAAAGGCGGTGCTTGTCTGTTGTGTAGATGCGAAACAACATACAAAAGAACAGCTGCTGAATTCATTGAGTTATGCTTATTTCTTTAAACGTATTCAGCATCAAGCCACACCGTATGATATCCCACCCGAGCTCCAGCGGCTTAATTTACAAATGAATGCCTTTCTTTCCGGTGGAGATGACAGTGATGGGGATAACGAGAATTACAGTAGTGGTAATATTATTAATAATATTTAATAATAATTGGTTATTTCCCAGCAGAAAGTGTGAAAGATAGGTAATATATATATATATATATTCTATGTTTGTAGTACATACATAGATTGTCATTATATATGTACCTATATTGAGCTAGAGTCCAAATAGATAATAGAGAACCATGCAATAAGAGTGAAAGGAATAAGATAAAAGGATAGAGAGAGAAAGAAAGAGAGAGAGAGAGAGAGAACAGAACTTCATGTAACCTTTTCTTTATTCTTTGAGCACTTTGTATTGTATTGGAGTTTGATTATTTTAGTTACATTTGTGTACATTGTTTGATAGAAGAAAACATTTGTGTTTTCTTAAAATAAAAAAAAATAAAGAAAATAAAAAAAAAATAAAAAAATATATATAATTATAATATTCGTTAATTTTGCTTTACTTTATTTCTGCTAATGTTTTCTTTTTTCTCTTATTCTAATCTCTTTGTTTATATTTACATATATTGTTTATATATATATAT